TATCTCATGGACCACTTAAGCCAATCGTCCTTTCCTATAAGTTGCTAGACAATATTGATGCTCCTTGGCGTTTTTCTTCATGTGTTTTTCAATGTACGCTTTACTTTTTGTTTATGAAACGCATTTTAGATGTGTTCAAACGCGGGATACCAACTTTGGAACGAACTGCATATGTCGCGTTCCTAAGAGCAAACTTGACGCGGAAAGAGTCATTGAATGTGTTCATTGCGGTTGTCGCGGCTGCTCTGGTTGATGTACAGCAGAACTTTTGAATGATTGTAATTGCGATGTTCATGTATAAATATTTAAGAATGTATTTCTATTCGTTGGCCATCGCTTTCTGTATCACTGTGAGACTACCGCTGGATATCCGCCTTATTCCATAGTGTTGCGTTGACGAGTTTCAGTGAATGTCATCGTAAAACAGTAATTGCACGCGGGGTATGGAGAGCGACTTCTTTCCCCCGTTTCTGCGAAACGAAAATTTCCCACAGCTTTGTGACGGTGTTTCCCTCAAGTACGATTCGAAGAGAGGACGGCATATCGTTGTAAGTTTTCCACATGGAACTTTTCATTCCCGTATTCCTGGTACGATCAAAGTGCGAGTTCAAGGCTACAAGGGATATTCCTTGCGGTGAGGTGGTATGCTTGGACACTGGCAAGGTTGTCAATTTAGTCGATGGTCTGTGCTGTTATTGTCTCAGCAGTCTACCGGAAAATCACAACAATCGGTACGGTATTTTGCAACCTACCTGCGGTAATCGCTATAAATGTGGAGTTGATATTGAGTATCATAAGTGACCTGTAAGGTCGGGTGAGTCGAATCAGAGTACATCATCGTGATAAAAGTCAGAGTGACCAGCGGCGCCAACAATGGCGGGGGAGGGGGGAGAGATTCTCATACTAATTGTCAACCGCCGCGGAGCTTGCATCCTCTTTCCTTTTTTTTCTTCCTCCTTCTTCAATTTTCTTCTTCCTTCTCTCTTCCCTCTTCCCTTGCCTTCTCCCTTTAACTGCTGGGGCAGTGGGTGCGATGAAAATACATCTGGATGCTCGCAGGGAGAGCATGCCCGGTTGAAAAGAGCCCCGTAACCGAGGGGAGGGGTATAGTGCACAAGAGATAGGGAGAAATGCGGAAAACTTGTAAGGGAGAAATGTGGAAAACTTGTACTCTGAGTGGGATTCTAAGATGCTGCAATTAGAAGTTACGTCCTTGTTAGCATCATTTTCCCGGCTTCTGTGATTATCACAGAAGGTGATTTAATGATAAAGAGCCCATTAATGGTGAGGCCACATTGATAGTTTGCGAATGCGGGGAATCTGCGAATCGGGACAATGCGCGTTTCCACAAACGCTGATGAGCACCGTAGGTCGATTCGTATCTATCGCACATCCTCCCAATTCGCATTCTCAGAAACTGCAAATTCTCCATATTTGCAAGTATTAACGCACCGTACCGGCTCTTTTAGGCCGCGTTCATACTTTGCGAAACTGGAGAATTTGCAAATTGAGGAGATTAACGTGTATTCATTTTCGCGCATTCTCCGTCTTCCCCAATTCCCGCTATTTTGGCCCAATCTCCATCTCGATATATTTGCAGTTTTTTTTTTGCGAATTCCTCTAGTCTCTAGATTGATGGTTATACTTTACCTTTGCGCATTCTCCAATTCTTCAGTTTTGCGAGCTATGAATGCGGCCTTGGAAGAAGTGCGGTGTCCTTCCCATTCACATGAGGTGTTCTGCCTTATTTACCGCCCTGGTGACTTGTTTTGAACGATAAGTTTTGATAGGATCCCATGTTGCCTCTGTCGAGCTGAAGATTTTCTTCTGTGTTCAAGATAACAACAGAGAACTTATTCAGCTACTGCGACGATTGCGTTGGTCAGGACAGGTTGTATGGCCCGTTCGAGCAACCCTTCATCGACAGGTTACAGGTACAGCGAGTAATTGTTTAATGGTGCAACCTCAGTAGCAACGGGGAAAAAGGGGAACCAGTATTTCAGTTTTTTTTAGAGAAATTACTTGGGATTGATAAATTTTAGGATATGTTCACTATTTCTAATTGCAGGATCTTGGAATGTTTCGGCTAGCAGTGCATTTAGCGTTATCCTATCCTTCCGAGGATATACGAGCTTTTGTCAAAGCTGAAGGGCTTCAGCGAGGTAAGTCAGTTTGCTGTGAAGTAGATGATGGACACGACACAGTCACTTTTCAATAGATACTAACATAATCGCCATGGAATCAAGCTCTCTGGCTGCGGCTCTCTCGCTTCAGATCGATGCATGTCCGGTTGATTTATCTTCAACTGATGATCTGGTGAAGGATCTTGTAAGCAGACTCGATAAGGTATTCTTATTGGTAATGCAACCATGCGATCGCTTTTAATGTCAAGCATTCAGCATCCTTACTGGGGAATGATACCTGGAGCTCGTCGATTTAGTGCATTCACAACTGTTCTGCGGTCGGTCTCCTCACGCCTTATGACAAATGCGCATACAATTTATTTTGTGGATCAGCTAGAAAGACGGACGCAGTGCGTTTTTCCAGCTTATTTGCGTTTTTAATTACATCAAGTCTTTATCTCTCAACGAAGAACCATTTTCAGAGACACACACTGCGAGAATTTCATTCCGTCTGGTGTTGGTCTTTTTCCAGTTGCTAGTTGGTTCAACCACTCTTGCCGAGCAAATCTCAACAGTTTGTATGCACAAACCTTTCGCGAAACCGCACTTCTGATAGTGTGTATTGATGTGAAGTCTGTTTAGTTTCTACAGAAATAAGCTGATCTTCGTCAGTGCGGGTATAAGAAGAGGGGAAGAAGTCTGTGATAATTATGGTGTTTCATTTTTCAAGCACACTAAAGAAGAGCGGAAGGCACGTTTGACTTTACAATAGAAAGATTGCTTTTGTAACTTCCCCATAATCAATGGTATCTTGCAGAATTTCCTAGCAGGACGTGGATTCACTTGCCACTGCTCTGTTTGTCTTACCACCGATTCAATCGGTGACATGTTGGAGCCAGTTGTTGAGCATCCAGACGTAAGCTGGACCATTTTCGTCCGAGTTATCTCCTTTAAGTGCAAATCTTCTAGTCGATCGTCGAATCTTTCAAAAGTGTGGATGACTACAGAAAATATCGCAGTGCGTTTCCTGAAGGGCACAAAATGATCGAAACTATTGCAGAAATGTATATCGGATCAGTAAATGGTGAGATGGTTTCTTTGAAGGCCTAATCCGTGATTCATCGGCAGGTACATTGCATATCAGTGCGGAGGTGGAGGGGGGGGGGGGGGGTTGCGAGCGACGGCTGCTTATTACTTGCGCCCGCTTTACTCTCTTACAGATCTTTTCCTTCTGGATCCACGCAGCCATCGTGGCTTCTTGTCGCACTGCTCTCAGATATCCAGTATACATAGAATTGCTTCCGCGTATGAGCAGCTTCGTAGTCGCAAATATTGTACTACTTCGCCACTTAAAGCGCATATTATAGTTTTGTTCGCTGCGGATGAAGAGGCGTGTTAGGCGGGCTGAAAACCAGACTCAGCTCATTGGGGGTTTTTTCTGACGGTTCTTCTTCACCTCCTCATTTACTGGTAAGTTAGTTAGGCTGCGTTCATACCCTGCAACAGCGTACGCCATGGTTTTGAGCGTTTCGAGCGTATGCCAACGCAAGCGAGAAGTAGGATTGCATAGGTACCAATCTGGTGTACGCCGGCGTATGCCAGCGTACAGCAGCGAGCGCCAGCGTTTTGAGCGACCACGAAACTATGGGTATCGATCTAGCGTTGTGAGCGTAATCCAGCGTTTTCAGAATTTTTGGAACATTTTTGAGTTTGAGCAGGACTGCAAGCTTGCCTGTATGTAGCGCTACTTCGTCGCGGCATTGTGCATTATTATCAGAGTGTTTCCTATAGTTGACTACGGATTGCCAATGTGTTTTCAAGTTGTTTCTATTCCTTTTTTTGTCAAGATCCCAAGCAAAGACTGTTCTTGTACGGTGAAATTATTGAATGTCAACGGCGCCGTGGTCTGCATTTTTCGCCTGATCAGAGTAGGTGAAATCTTTCC